AGCTCTTTGAAACTCAGAACGGGTTCCGTAGTTCTGAAACAGCATACTGCTTATGTTCTTGATGCTCCTGAGCTGGGGAGGAAGCAAACTCCCTGCCCTGGACTCAATGGCGACTCAGAGAGACCCTACAGGACAGGGTGGAATGTCCCTGTGGTTTTCTGAGGCTGTAACTTGTTTTGTTTTGTTTAACAACGCGTCCTCTTTCTTCCCGAGCCAGGCAAGCGAGGTTCAAATTCTGGTTCTGCTACTCACTCGTGAAGGAACCTTGGCCAGGTTACTCCGCTTCTCCCAGCCTACTTTCCATCATCTGTAAAATGAGCGTGTTTTAGCACCTGACTCATGGGGTCATCCTGAGAGAAAGCTTCAGGAAATAGGGCCTGGCTGGTGAGCAGCATTCCAGAAATGGCCACCATTCTTACTGGGAGGGTTACTGTTAGTTCCCAGTTGCAAAGGCAGCAGGTAGTTGAGCCTCCAGCTGGAAACCCGGAGAGGGCTGTGAAACAAAACCAGAAAGCAGCTCTCCTCCCTCTCCACCCCCCCCACCCCCCCCTGCTTCCCCCCTTTCCTCCTCAATCTCATGCTGTGGTGAGTTGGAAATTCCTAAGCTTTTCCCCTGGGCTCTAACAGCCTCTGGGTAGGATGTCTGGAGGCTTTTTATAAACCACAGGCTGAAGGGCAAGATTTGCTAGCAGGGAATTACCAGGAGTTTCAATGCCAAGGTTTTAAGAAGAGACCTGAGACCAGCGCCAACCCCATTTATCTAAGGCGATGTACCCAGAAGTGGAGCCTGCCCCGGGGATCCCTGCAGGGTCTCAGAAGCCCACTGTAAAGCCAGATTGCCCCCGTGACTGGCTCTGGGAGCTCTGGCAGGCTGTGGTTTCATGTTTTCTAGCCGTGCAAAGTAGGACGTACCCGGAGACTGAGGCTAGCCAACCCGGGAGCAGCACAGCAAGCCCAACCTCCGAGGGGAGGACCACATGGCCAGCTCGGGAACTACACAAAGGACCAGACTGCCAACCTTCCCAGGGTGTTTGGGGGCAGCCCCTCTGTGTTCTATGGCTGTGTGACCTCCTGGAATCACTGAACCTCTCTGAGCTGGTCTAGAAAAGGAGGACTCTTCAGACCCACTGCACAGAGCTTGTATGAAGAATAAACAAGATAGCAGGGTGGAAGAGAAGACAAGTTGTAAATTACTTATATGCCCATGAGAGGGAGAAGGGCAAGGCTCGCTACTGCTGCAAACACTTACCATCTCAGAAGCCCACTGTAAAGCCAGATTGCCCCCGTGACTGGCTCCGGGAGCTCGGGCAGGCTGTGGTTTCATGTTTCCTAGCAGTGTAAAGTAGGACGTACCCAGAGACTGAGGCTAGCCAACCCGGGAGCGGCACAGCGAGCCC